TTTTGAACCAGATAATCTTCAGAATTTAAAAACTCATTAGCTTTATTACAAAGAAGATCTCATTATGGTAATTTGAAGGACAATAGTTTCCACAATATAAGAAAAACCTCTTTAAATTCAGCTTTTATTAAACAAAAAAGAAAAATTTCTTAAGAACGAGAGATTATCAGAATCCCAAGCTCGAAATAATAAGAAAAATGGAGAAAAGAATCTTCTCCAACATTGAAATGAAAAGAAAAAGCTGAAAAAAATGAATCTTAGATTCAAAACTTGAAACAAATTTAATTTGTTTTTCTTCTCTTTAATAATTAATTTTTCTTCTTCTTTTATAATTTTACATTTAATTAACTTATCTTATTAACTGAAAGAAAACCAAAAAACAAAAAATCTTTCTGAAAAATCGTTAAATTTCAACACTTTTTCCTCTTATCATTATTATTGTTATTATGTGTTGTAAAGGTACCAGCTATTTCACTAGCATATGAAGCACCGGAGAGTGATATCATGAAACGTCAACCACGAGATCCATATCGCGACAACTTGGTAAATCGCAGGTCAGAAAACTAAAACAAAAATGCATCTTTTAAAAAGTATTAAAAAAATGCAGAGAAAAAAAAAATCTTTGGGAAATTGGGAAAGTTCGTATTTTGTTGGTAGAATTTTTTTTTATATAAATGGATTTTGCAAGGAACAAACCAAAAAAAGTTAACAAAAAACTGTTTTTACGGCCTTATCACAAATTTCTTTATGTATTTCTTAATTTTTTTTTCTTGGAAAAAAATGACTTTAAAAAGACCCTTTTATTTATTTTTGTGGATGTCTCCTTCGGTTACCAAGTCCTTTCTATTTATTTTCATTATTGATTCCGTAAAGTCTTTCGATAAGTTTTAAAGTCATTTTAATGTGAATTCACGCAAAAGTAAGAAGGTTTATTTGGAGTTTTTTAATTCCCCCCCCCCCCAAATTTTATGTTTAAATGTTTCCCGCCAAAACCGAAATTAAATTATTTTTAATTTTAAAATTGTTTTTTTTTTGTAAATATGGATATAAATTAAAACTGTCACAAAATGACATGACAAAAAAATTAATCGACATAATTGGTGTTTTTTGGTGCTTTAAATGTGCGGTTTTTGATTTTATTTTTGTTCTCTGTGAATTTTTTGATGTGGTCGATTTGCATTGGATGGTGTTTGAAATTCAAATTGGACATGAGATAAAATTATCGATTTATTTTTTAAATTTTATTTGTGAATTGAATGAGAAAATAAAAATTTAAAATTGCCAAGAAAGTAAAATTTTTTGTGTTAATATCATCACATCTTAAATACTCGATGAGAGATCTTGAAAATCGAGGGGCTGTGAAGTTGATTGAATTTTTTATTTGAGAGTTTTCTTCGTTTTCAAGCAAATTTTAGTATTGTGAACTTATTTGTGTGTCAAGAATCATAAGCTTGTCTAAAGGTGGAGTCGATTTTAAATTTCAAGATCCTATGGGATTCTCTTTGAAGTCACGAACGTGAAACACTCCCTTTATTCGTTCAATAACCCTAGCTATGAACTTTCTAAGGTGTAATTAAATGTTAAATAACTTCCAAAAGCTCAGAAGAATTTTGAATTTCAAATTGGAACATAATTGTAGCACACCTTAAATTCCAAAGGTTCTGTTCTGCATACCAACCTTAACTGTAGCAATCAACTAATGCTTGATGTTCTACTTCTTATTTTATCATTGCTTATAATGGAATCCGAACCGAAACTTCCTTATTTTACTATTTCTCCCTTTAATCTTGACACCAGAGTTAAATTTAATAATATCTTCTAAGAGCATCTCAATTTAATATGAATTTACTACGTTAGAATCTAAACCAGAGATCTAAAAACCTATTTGAACTGAGTTGATTCTAGTTGACTCAAAATTGTCATCGATTAACCACCTCAAACTCAAAATTTTCCTCATTGGAATCCTAAACTGCAACCTTAACTCAACGATTTAAAATTCAAATTCTCAAATTTTTATTCAATCGACTTCATCTCCCCTTTTATATCCCAATCTGTTACCGACAAAAGAAATATCCTTCTAAACCTTCGGCGATAAACTTATTAAGTCAATACCCCCTGAACAAAACACACGAGAAAGTATCTCGAATTCCACTTCAATATTTTTTTGTTGTTTTTTCAATTCCTCTATGCTGAAATATACACAAACAAAAAACAAAGTAAACCTCTACAGGAGAAAAGAGAGATCACTTCAACCTTCGAGAAAATCAATTAATGATTTCATCCTCAAATTTCATTCAATTATCTTCGTCTCTCTTATCATTCTCAATGTTATTCCCATTGTTTGCTTAAATATATTTTTTATTTTGTTGTGTGTTGTTGTGCTATTAGCTTTATTTATATTCTATGGAATAGCACACACAGTAAAGTATCCATAAAAAATATGTAAAGTGGATTCCCCCAAGAGCCTCTTATATTATCGTTTATTCTTTACAAAAATAAAAAATTAATGGCAGAAAAAAATGGAAAATGAAAAAAAAAGAAGTTGTTGTTGTGTGGACTTAACGTTATGTCGTTTCATGTGGACAGCAAAACAGAGAAAAAAAATGTAAAATAATTATAAAGCATCGATCGATTGATTTTCATCACAGTTGTCACTTTGTTGTTGTTATTATCGATGTTTAATTCTATTTATTTTTAATTTTAAATGGAATGAATGTGAATCAACTGTGATGAAAATGTTTGAATCAAAGAATCGTAGATAAATGCCCATTTATCAAGCTATTAGGGAGCATAGATTGACAGAAATTAATTTATATATTTATACGTCAATGTTGTTGTTATTATGTATTATGCGTTTTGCATGTTTGTAGTTGTTTTAGTGTCGTTGTCAAAACAAAAATCAAAAAAACTTTTTTTGATGTAGATGTCATATTGATGTCAAGGAACAAAGCAAAGCAATTTTATGTGTAGCAAATAAAAAAATAAAACAACATTGAAACAGTCACAACATAAATTCGACATTAGAGATATAATCACATATATACAAATATTACCTTCAATACATCAATTACTTCAATTGGAAAATTCATAAAAAAATATATTTAGAATATTTATGCGAATTTCATAGCTTATGATGATCGTTGATGGTTTATTATGTGCTGGAGATGTTTTGTGGGAGAAACAAATGATGCTTGAGTGGTTGAACTTATGGACGGAATAAAAAATTTATTTATTCTGTCAATATTCCAATTATTGTGTATATCGAAAACGACACGTGGATATGTCAAATTGAAATTTACTTCTTACCTTAAAGGCAAAAGGTAGAATAATCAATGAAGGGTTGAAGGAAAGTTTTGATGAATTTTTAATGTCTTTATTGATAATGTCTGTTATACTTCTTTTTGATTTAAAATATTCTAAATTAGTTTTGACAAAAAATTACTTTATGGAGATTTTTGAATAAATTGAAGAAAGAAATTTTAAGCTTCACATCATTTAATAAAGAAGACTTAAGTTTCGCGTCATCTTATGACGTCATTAGACCCCCTTTACATGTCACAAAACTGATAGTGTCAATCCCCCCTCTCCCCTCCTATTCTGTGACGTTTAATCATAGATGCAAAAAAGTTATGATTTTTCTTTATATTAATTTACATGCAACAACTTAGTTCACTTATGACGTCCATCAAAAAACCTAATTTTTAGACCCTCCTCTGTTTTGCGTCATATTATAAAATGGTTGTGGTTTCCAGCAATAGATGCAGAGTTTTGCATCATTAGAATTAAACTTGCTAGGGTTTTTAAAGATAAAAATTCCACACCCAAACACTCGTAAAATTTTAATAATCACATCCCTTTCCAAAAATTTCTGGATCAGCCTTTGCATTAGACACTAAAAGCTTGATATACAATAAAATTATGTCAGACGTCACTTAGTGTCGCTCATCTGAAACAAGAACAAACTTTTTATCACTTAACTTAGATTTACAAAATAATCTTATTAAACAATAAATTTACTTCCCTGAAAACCTTCAAAAAAAAAAACACTTTTAACTGAATTTTCATGTCTTATGAATTCTTAATCACTTAGTCACAATTCTGTTGTCATGTGATTCATGAAGGAAGTCTCCATACATCTACGTCAGCAAAAATCACTCAATGTTTCTCTCGCACTAAAGGTCATCTCCAAATAAGAAAGCGATCAATGATAAATCATAAATTGAATTGAAAAGTATGTCACAATATCATCAATATTCACATGATATCAATTTATTTTTATTTAAACGAATTGGTATTAATGAAAAAAAAAAAATGTTATAGATTTGGATACGAATGGAAGGTAGGACATTTATTCTTTAATAACAAAAAAGGAGCTGTAAAAGAGTCATTTGATTGAGACGCTTACTCGGAAATTCTCATATCTTTAATATTTATTTATATATTTCATTAAATTTGCTTATGAATAACTTTTCATGACTGTAAATTGCTTTATTTTCTTAAATTTCACAAATTTATTTTTAAGAAATTTTTTTCATGCTTAATTTTGGTAATGGTAGCACACTGCATGCTTTTAATTATATTTTAACTACTAACGATAATTTTTAAATTTTTTTGTTCTGTATAACCGCTGTTTTTGGGCTAATATTTCTCTTCTCTCCCTAAAAACTACTATAAAAGACACTAATCTCTCTATTTTTATAATAACAAAATAATAAAAAAATTGAAATTGAAAGTCTCTCTTAATATTAAATCTAGATGACGAATTTTATATTCCTATAAGAATCAAATTACACACGAATGTTGTAAATAACACACAAACACAAACACTCATGTCAATATTATTGAGGATATAAAAATTCATCCCTTAGTCAAATGATATATATCTAAAGAGAGACTTTCATTACACAAATATTTTCATTGGCATTGAATGGCAAAATTAAATCTAATATGACAAAAAAAAATATTTTTTTGTTTTTTTCCTTGGTTGAAAAAACAAACAGACTTATTTCAATGGCATACGGTCAAATTGGTATGATTCAAGCAGCAGCTGGTTTCTTCGTATATTTCGTCATCATGGCTGAAAATGGATTTTTGCCTTTGACATTGTTTGGTATTCGTAAGCAATGGGACTCGAAAGCCGTAAATGATCTCACAGATTCATATGGTCAAGAATGGGTAAGTTAATCAAAATAAAGCAAGCAGAGGATGCAAAGGATATTTGATATTTTTTTCTTGTTTCTAAAAATGGGTTCGTTGAGGGTTCAATTTCCTTTATGTATATTTTATATTGAGCTTTAGGGGATGTAAATTTTGCAATCTTGAAGTTTTAGGATGAGATGTTTATGGGTTAGCATCAATTTTTAGGAAAGCATGGCTAGGGGACTGTTTATAAATGACGTCCAAAAAAGAATTCATTTTTAAGACTCTCACCCCGAATGTCACAAAAATTATATGAAGAAACATTTATTTCTTCAAACATCTGCCCTTCCTAAGCTGTCATTTAGTCCTAAAAATGAATTGAGGGTTCCTGGTTCTTTCCGTGGATCTAAGAGTTTTAATCAAAATTTGACTTTAGGAATTTATATCTAATCCTAGTCATCATCGACTAGGGTCCATCCCACAGTACCCCAAAATGTCTAGTTAGTCATAAACTATCAAATCATCCACATCTTATTTCTCACACATCCCCCATAAATCACCAAATTTTCAAATCTCAATCTCTATCCCATCAGACATACCGCGATCGTAAGACCTTAGAATTCACATGCCACACAGCTTTCTTCGTATCAATTGTCGTTGTACAATGGGCAGATATCATCATTTGCAAGACCCGTCGTAATTCAATCTTCCATCAAGGCATGCGAAATTGGGCATTGAACTTTGGTATCATCTTTGAAACAATCTTAGCCGCCATCTTGTCATACACACCTGGAATGGATAAGGGTCTCCGCATGTATCCATTGAAGTGAGTAGCTCAATGAATGATAACTATTGATTAGAATGATGAACTAATGGGACATAAATAATCCTTACTTGCAGATTCGTATGGTGGCTTCCAGCATTGCCATTCAGCTTGGCAATCTTCTTGTATGACGAAACACGTCGCTTCTACTTAAGACGCAATCCTGGTGGTTGGTTGGAGCAAGAAACGTACTATTAAACATATAACATCTTAGCGAGACGACATATAGTAATAGAAATAATAATAATGATATAATAATTAATAATAATAATAATAATTTAAATGAGAAAAAAAATAGTAATTGGGAAATTGTGTGCGAGGGAAAAAAAAACAAAAACCAGAAAAGAAAAAAAACTAAATAGCAGTTGATAAAGAAAGAAAGAAAGAAAGTGAGATGTAAGAATATAAAAAACCATATTCATATGTATTTTGCTGCCACAAAATTAATAAGAAAAAAATTATTACAAAAAATATTATCAATAACTAATTATGATGATTGCTACACGCGCTGGACACTGACATATAGTTGAAGTAAAAATGCTTTTCTTATCTTCTTGCCCACAACCCACCAAGAGAATATATAAATAAAAAAAAAAAAACATTGATTGATGATGGAAGTAAACCAACCACAAAAAAATTAAAAATAAAAAAAGAACTTTCGCGCGAGAATAAAAAAAAAAAAATAAAAATAATTAAAGGATAATAGTACATTTAGGGAAGTGAAAAAATAATAAATTATGTGTAATTTAAACACAGACACACATACACACAAGAAAAAGTCATTCTTTCCTCCACTTTTTCCCCCCATTTTCTAATTTTTATTCAAAAAACCCCCCAAAAAAATTCTGTCTCAACTTTTTAGTTTTAGGAAAAATATTTTTCTTTTTTTTTGTGACTCTTTTATTTTAAATATTTCTGTCTCTATATTTTAAAATTTAAATAAAAATAAATTAAAAACAAAAAAAGATTGAATAACTCATATTTTTTTAAAAATAAATCAGTTTAAAAATGAAGAACTTAAAATTTAAAGAAAAAATTGCATCTTAAAAAAATGAGAAAGTTTAACAATTAAAAAAATAAATAAAAAAACAACAAATTCGCGCACTAGTTTGTGGCGTAATAAGGAACGTTAAAAGGGAAACTTTTTTTTGTTGTGTCGAGAATCTTATCAGAATTAGATGTACAAGAACAACATTAGAATGAAGGGTGGACTTTTATGGAACTGTTCAAGCTTTGTAGTTCATGAAGTGGATAGTCTGAGAATCTCAAAAAAAAAAGTTTTCAGGATATTCATGACATTGACTCTTATGCATCCCTCCATAAAAGTCACACACATAAAAAAATGATGATTAAAAGTATAAAAAAAAATATATTTAAATTTAAATATAACTATTAATTAATAGATAGTGTGTGTATGCATGCGTCGCAAGCGATGTTTCTTACAGCAATTTATGATAATGAATCTATAAAAAAAAAATTGCCCAATTTTATCATTGATGAATAAAAAGTAAAATCTAAAAAAAGAAATCTTAAAAAAACCACAAAAATGAGAAAATTTTAAATTTCATTTTTCTCATTGTTCAGTTTTTCCATTTTTCATAATTTTTTTTTTGTCTCTGTGTCCCGAGTGACGTATGATCTTGATGATTGTTGACTTGGCTGCTACTTTATTCAGGACTTTATGTCTTATTGCATAAGCACTAGGGGCAGATCACATTGAATGACCTTGACCGTTAATTATGCAGACATTAATCCTTGAGTAGCTATGACAGCTATTAAGCAGCTAAACAACAGCCATAAAGGACATTTATTTAGGTCTGGACATTTTCCTCATTTTCTTTCTATTCTTATTTTTGTAAAATCCATCATTTTTACTACAACTACTGATGATGATATATAAACATATATTTATAAGACATGAAACATGCTAACTGAAATAATAATAATGAAAAAAAAAGTAAAAATTATGAATAGTAGAAATGCCAGAAAAAAAATAATGAAATAGATAAGAATTTATATATTATATTGTTTCCTAATTTTTCAGTTATAAAAAAAGATTGCATTAGAAAATTTTTCCGAGAAACAATTTTTGTCACCGCCGATGAAAAGAGTAGCTAATTACTTCTTTTTTTTTTTTGAAGAATATATAAAAAGAAAAGTCTATATTAAGGAGATAAAAAAAGAATTAAATCTAAAAAAATGTAAAATGATGCATAATTAACATATACACAAACACACACACACATACACACACACATGATTCTTTTCATTCCCAAAAAAAAATGTTTAAAAAAAATTGTTTTTAAATGCAAAAAAAAAAGAAATTGCAACAAAAAAAAATCTTTTACCCCGTCCTTCGAACACATTGTGTTTATTTTCGTTAACTTTTTATTAAATAGATTTTTTTTTAAATTAATTAAATTTAATTCGTCGTTAAACATTTATAAATATTATTATTATTATTCTTATATATTTTTTATTTTTGATCATATTCAGGAATTGGAATTTTGTTCAAATACTCGAATTTATGTTTTTTGTGCTGAAGATGGTAGCTTTCAAAATAATTAAAAAGAATTGTACAAAAAAAAAAAAACGTTGGCACAAGTTCATAGAGAGGATTGAGGTCAGACTGCGGGAAATTTTAGACATTTTTTTTTGTGGGATTCCAAGACAAGATCTTCAATATGGTGCCATTTCTCACTTGTTTTGTGAGTCTAATGCTCTTTTATCATTTTTTTTTCACGACTTGTTGTTGCTCAATTTCATGTTAAACCATCATCAGACTTAAGTTTGTCTGACTAAGTACGGAATATTCTAAATAGCATCAACTGGAGCTACATACCAGCTCCTCGACTATTTTTCAATGCATTTTTAAACTTGACATATTCCATCTTCAAGTTTTTTCATACACTTACCCCCCTTCCCCCCATCCCTCCAGGGGGGTCTCTACTACGAACAATTTCCACAAATACCTCTCAAAAATTACCAAATAAAAAAAATCAAATTTCCCACGCAGTTCCACCCATAATTACACAAAATGGCCATAAACGATAAATAAAAAAAAATAATTCGAATATTTCAATTCCTGAATTGAATGTTAAATGATTTAAAAACAAAAATTACAAAAAGATAAAAACAACAAAAAATTGAGAGAAAGTACATATTAGTTAAGTGTGCGCAGAAAAATTTTAAATAAAAAATAAATGATTTTGTTTCTTTTTCCTTCATTATTAAGTTTTTTTCAATGGGATTGGGAGTTCTGCTGATGTTTGGGGATGTCTTGTTTCTGTTATTTCCTATAGGATTGTTACAGGAATTATTGCTGAAAGTCTTTGGTCTATGCTCAAAAAGTTGGACCCAATGAATGTGCATCAGTACCTGAAAATTATGCTTTTTGGCACCGTTGCGTGTTCATTCGTCTAAACTGAGTGACAAACCAATTACTGGATGCATAAAGTCAGGGGTTGTCAATAGCTTCTTACATAACCAAAAAGGTTCTCTATTGAATATTTGTAGAGTGATATTTTGGTTACAGAGATTCTCTAACAGGCAGAGAGTGTGTTAGGTCATCATGAAGTATTTTGTTTATCCTGTTAGAAGCTAAGATCAATAAATGTAGGAATCCTGACTATAAAATGATGAAGGCTGATTATATAAGACTACTTTAATCTTGGTCTAATCAGAACAACATTGGTTGACCAATAAGAATAGAGCTTTAGCTTTAGAACTGAGGATTATTGATTCTTTTGAAATTTCGTTTACTTTTCAGTGTCAGCCTTTGGTTGAACACCTGAAAAGGACGGATTATATCATGAAGATTGATAATTTTAAGTTTTAGATTGTTGTGCTAGTAAGTTAGGAAGTATAAACAGGAAATACAGAGCCAAGCATCTCCAAGGGATGGTTTCTTGGGTACTCTATTTGATATCTTGTAAGAAAATCTACAAAAATCAATCATGAACTTGTGTTGTAAGGATATATTAAGTGATACTCCATTATGCTTACTATTGTTGTATATTTTATGATATATTACGAGAGAAGCCTTATTGGAGTATGCCTTAATGAGATTCTTGTAGATGCTCCTTAAAGGTATTGCATATTTATTATGTAATGTCTTGAGGTTCAGCTACAAGAGTTAACACCTTACGTATATTTTAGAATTATTCCTAACTGGAGTCTTTCCTAAAGATATATTGTAAGGAGTGCTACTGAAAATAATGCTAATATGGAGACTCTACTAGGAGATTCCATGTAAGTCAACAACGAAATAATTGAATCAATATAACATAAGCTCAAAGAACAAGCTAGCTACAAAGTATAGAGTATCCTCCCAAGAAGCCGACACCCGACCCACCAGCAAATCTCCAACTTTAAAGCTGTTTAAAAAGTTCTCTTTAAAACTAAAAAGAGGATAGACATACATTTATATACAGACACTACTAAGATTTATGTTTGCTACATTTTTATTATGACAAAATAACAGAAGATATAGATTGATGATGAAGATTATATAATTAATTAAATTGAATTAAATTAAATTAATAAAAAAAAAGCTTATAGAATGTTTCTCTGTTATCACTTCGTTCAAAATTTCGGGAGAATCGAAATGAATTAAATAAAAAAAAGGAGTAAATAAGATGAAAAAAAAAACAAGTATATTCTATATTTTTAAATGGATGAAAAAAAAAATAATTAAAAATACTGAAAAAAAATGATGAAAAGAAAAAAAAAGTTTATGAAGATGAATTAGTAATTAAATAAATTTAAAAAATTTACACACAAAAAAACAATTGTTCTTTTATAAAGCAAAAAAAAATATATATTTTAAAATGTATAATAATAATTAATAAATAATGAAATTTAAAAAAAAAATATTAAAGTGAATTTAAAACTTCACAAAAAACAAAAAATAAGGAAAATACACAACAGAGGACAAAGAAGCTTGCTTATAAATTCTGCGATCGATAAGCCTCTCATGTCCCACAAAAAAAAAAAGAAACATGGCAATTCTAAAAAATATATAAAAAAGAAAAGAATTTCATTAATTGATTTAGAAAAGAAAAAAAAAATTATAAAAAATGAAACACGATTTAAATACTGCCCGTTTGTTGTAATTAAAAAAAATGAGACATTTAAAAAGCAAAAAAAAAAATCATGTTAGACAAAAAAAAAATTCATTTATGGAATATAAGGTAATA